GGTGTCAGCTAGTATTTGCATTTCGAAAATGCCGGTTGTGGATCTCAAAAGGGTAAATGGTGATTTGGTGATAGAGCAGAAAAGATTGAACAGGATGGTTTGCAGTTCATAAGTGGAATACATAAAACATTTAAATATCATAAATTGAATTTCTTAAAATCTTGTGCGATATATTCTAACTTCACATAAAAAGAACGTTCTTAGATAAGTTAAACACAAAAAGATTGATCTGAATCATTCATGAATTGCGTACAAAAGAGGCATCAGTCACTTTGAGGAGGGTTCCCGGAGCTCATTTTTCGCCTCTAATTTGTTCGGTTTTAAATAAAACCGTTATAGTTATGACTCTTGTAAACCCTTTTTTAAAAAATAATTTACAACAGTCACGTCAGTACATTAAAACATTAGTACACTTTTTGAAAATTATTATGCATTAAAGTTATTAGAAATTAATTTGCTCATTTCATTTCCGCGTAATGAAATAAAATGATGAGTCCTGCGCATTTTAAAGACCACCTCCCACCCTATCTTAATTTCGTGCAATATTCCTGTCACACCACTCTTATCGTCACCACACTAGGAACAACACACCATCCACAATAATACGACACATTTTTCTACAAGTAGACTGCAGAAACTGACCACTAAGTGAGCGACAAGCCGAAACAACTTTTTTTTGCGCCCGAAGCAATTGGAAAGGGCTACCCTTTATGTAGGGAGGCGGAAAATGCATTACGCATACCACGACAGCCGGTCTATCGTGGTTATGAGGGACTCACTGCCTACCGGGGGAACCTAAGTGATACCCTCTAAAACCCGCCTTTGGGGACCGGCAACTGGCTGTTTAAGCTTCTTATGCCGTATCGGAAGCGACCCTCTTTTGGGAAAAGAGGGGCGCAGGCGGCTACGAGCCGCTAGGGGAGTGCCTACGAAGGCAAATTGATTATGAATTTAATTAGAGTTGACCTGAGCCGCCAGGAGGCAGTTCAGGTTGTTTGACAGTTTATTAGGCGGGTCCGAGTGAAAGTTGCTCGGCCTGCGGACTCGATAACGAGAGGTGGTGGGGCTGCATAAGTAGCTGCCTCACGAATAAGATGATTAGAGTGCGACTCTGAGGCTTTGACGAAGTTCTCAGAGAGTTTTTTAAGAAATTGTTGAATTGTAGGGAGCTCTAGGTCCCGATAAAGGTCGGCATTACGGACGTACTAAGGTGCGTTCGCAGCTCGACGACAGAAAAGGTTTTGAACTATTTGGAGTTCATTAATAATTTTAGGGTCGGCGTGGGCAAAAATGGGGCCCGCGTAAGACATGCCTGGTCGTATACAGAGCTTATAAAGGGTAAGCTTGTTTCTGAGGGACATTTTACTGTGTCGGCCCAACATACTGTTGAGCCTACTCAGGTAAAAACGTCCGTCACGGGTTACTCTTTTGACGTGGGGCCTGAAAGTGAGCCTTGTGTCTAGAGTAACACCTAAATATTTGGCAGACGTATGCCAGGGGACTGGGGTCCCTAGCATACGTATTGGTGGAGTTTTTTTGAGACGGCGTCGTTTATAATCGAAGTGAACGGCGGAGCTATTCTTCGGGTTCACATCGATGCGCCATTTTTTGAACCAAGCTCCTAGGTCGTTAACTGACTTTTTGAACCTTGTTCCGTATGAAAGGTAGCGAGATACCTTTACAGTAGATAGCAGTGTCATCTGCGAAGAGGGAGAGCTGAACACCTTTCGACGGGATGGGAATGTCGTTGGTGAACAGGATTGACAGCAGAGGAGCAAGTACTGAGCCCTGAGGGACACCAGCTTTGATAGGGCGCTGTGAAGATAGCGTGCCATCGTGTCTAAAACGAAAGGTACGATGCTTTAAATAAGAGGCCACGAGACGTACTAGATGATCGGAGAGACCTATTTTGTATAGCTTGTAGATAAGGCCTGTATGCCGCACTCTATCAAAGGCTTTAGCTACGTCGAAAAAGACTGCGATGGTCTTATGACGACGAGGATAAAAACCGCTGAGCATATATTCCACAATACGATGAACTTGTTGGGGACATGAGTGTTTCGCTCGGAAACCGAATTGATGGGGAATGATAAGAGGGTCACCGTCTGTGGGAAACAGATGACGCCTCATGCGAGTTTGAATGACTCTTTCGAAGAGCTTGCCCATGGCCTTGAGGAGGCTAATGGGGCGATGACTGGAGGGGGAGTTTGAGAGGCTTGCCTGGCTTGGGAATACCAATCACAGTTGTCTCTTTCCACGTAGTGGGAAAGTAATTAAGGTCGAAGCAGGCGTTGAAGATAATAGATAAAAAGGTTAACACCTGCTCAGGAAAGTGTTTTAGGGCTTGGTTGGAGATGCCATCCGCGCCTGGAGCCTTTTTGGGCTTAAGTCCTTTGATCAGGGATGAAATCTCATCATTGGACACAGAGATAGGTTCGGAGGCTGTAGAAGGTGAGTTCCAACGGCGGACCTGCCTTTTCCACTGCCTGGACGTGTGAGGGGTCGACGGGTTGAGAGCTAGGAGAGCATTGTGCGGCAATGCTATCTGCAAAGCACTCAGCCTTTTCCTCGTCCTCGAAAGTAACCGTACCGTCGATACGGGAGAGAGGGGGAGTGTGGGTGATAGCGTCTATGCGGAGGGCTCTAGCCATCTGATAGTACGCTGTATGAGATGGAGAGATATTCTCTATGAGTTTACTCTTTTCGAGGTCTCGAAATTCAGAGAGGCGGAAACGGAGTTCTGGTTGAGGACGATTGGTGGTGCGCCTATATTCGGGGGTGGGATATTTTGCTGCTCTCCGGAAAGCAGCTTTCTTGGCTTTTAATAGGTTGCTAATATGTAGGGGAAGCCCACTATTGTTAGCAACCGGGACGACCCTTTCGTTCTCCTTAAGGGAGGATTTAATAAGGGTGGAGAGTGAATCGACCGCGGTGTCGATTTTTCCGGGACTGTCTAAATCCGACGGTAGGGAGATGGTAGAGTCCTGTGAGTCCAGAGTTTAACTAGGGACTCCTTGAATCCCTTCCAATTAGTTAAGGTTTTCGTGTGTGTTGGGGGAGGCGGCTGATGGCCAAGAATGATGGAGACCGCTCGGTGATCGGATCCTAGATCATCTAGTGTCTCGATTGCCCTGAGGTTGAGAGAAACTCCTTTGAGTAACGCAAAATCTAGTACATCGGGGGCGTGATCGGTGTTATCGGGAAAGTGAGTAACACCGAGGGGACTATGGACGATAATATCAGGAGAATGCGTAATATCGAGCAGTATCTTGCCACTGGGGGAGATATTACGGTATGTCCATTCAGTATGCATGGAGTTAAAATCTCCAAACATAATGACTGAATTGCCTAAAGATAAAATAGCCTCAAAATCTTTTATGAGGGTATGGGTTCCTAAAGAGATGTAACAGGTGGCTATGAGGATGGACTGATGTCCAGTCATAGCTAGCCTGCATACCGTGGCTTCCATGTTGGTAAGCTGCGGAGTAGAAATGGGCGAGCAGTGAAGTGTCTTCTTGTAATAGATGGCCGTTCCGCCGCCTCGGCGGTCGGGTCTGTCATTACGAAGAAGAGAGAAGTTTTTAATAGAAAGGCCTTTAGTGTCCTTAGTTTTGAGATTAGTTTCCTGTAGGAGGAGGAAATCGGCTTCACGATTTCGAAGAAAGAGCTTAAGGTCTGGGAGGTTATTTCGCAAACCGCGGATATTAAAGGATAGGAAACAACTGCTATTTATGTGCTTATAACTGCGACTACGGCATGCGAACATTCACCACCTGACGTAAGCAGCCGTTTGCCATAAAATTACCAACAGACCGCTGCAAAACTTGTGACCACATTACGAGGCTGTATGTTATGGAACAGGTATAAAGAGGTTTAAGAGAGGCGAGTTAGAAATATTTGTTTGTTCATTCAGTAGTACAACGTTACTATTATTATTTTTCAATATCTCTTACTGTTCCAGCACACACAATCGTAGTATTTTATTAAAAGTATGTAAGACTTTAAATATTTTAAATTATTAAGCACTTTCAACAAGAAATGAGAGGTGTCTGAGAGGAGAGAGAATAATATACTAAAACCCTTTTTGTCTTAAATATTTGAATTAATGTGCACGATTTTTAACAATTCAGTTCTTGCTTTTATTAACCTATCTTCTCGTATGAAAAAATAACACCTACTGTAAAAACGTAGAAATTTGATGAAGATTATAAATTATCTAAAGCAAGAAAAAAAATATTTTTTAAATTCTTGTACCATGTAGAAGTCAATATAGAATATTACCCAATTAATTATCAATACAATATTATGAAATAGTTTTCTATTCCCACAGTACGTGAAACCTCACCACTGATTGTATTGATGACCAACACTAAAAACTACATTGTATTAATTCATTATGTTCATTTCAATTAATCATCACTCACCTTCGATTTGTCAACAATATTAAACAATTATGGCAAAATTACTAGAGGACATAAGCAGTATGATGAACGTCCTCAATAGTGTTTCCTTACGGATAGGCCTTAAGATGAATAACGAAACATAAAACGAAAGTCGTGTGTATTTCCATATCATACCTACGCCAGTAGTCGTTGCGAGCACTACGCTCGAAATTGTTGACGAGTCGTTTACCTAGGATAAATAGTCCGATTAGGTAAGTTCAACTTCGACACGCCTTCCGATGTGTCATTATGAAGGGAAAATTGTCGATCGGTGCACTATTACCGAAGTTATAAGCGTGGAAAATTTACGTACATTTTTAAAATCTCGCCCGTGCCCGCGTGTAGCGCGTGACGTCATCGATTCCATGCGGCCCGCCGCGCCGCTCGTCCGGCGGTTACATTAAAAACATCAATGAAGCAGTAAGAAGAACTCATTGTTCTATCTTAAATAGAGAACTTTGTAAGTTTACTATTCAGCAAGAAGTGTTTACTACGTAGGCCAACAAACCCACATTTTTAAGATCTACGGTGGCATGTGGCTTCACATCCAAATTTTCTTCATCTACCAATAGACATTTCAACATGTATTCGTAGAGCAGAAATTTTTTTCGTTTCTAGAACCTCCTCCTTTGCTGGAGTAGTTTTCGAATTCACACTAGGTGGTTTAACAAAAGTACAATCTTTCTCACTAATGAGATGTGCCACATTTTTGAAACCACGGTCAGCCATAACTGCTGCATTTTTAGGCAATAATTCCAAAATGCCACAGTCTTCAAATATAACCGAGTCAGATTGTCGTCCACCATATCCATCTGAAATAAAATTTATTCTCCCTTCTGGAGTAATGGATATCAAATATTTAAAAGTGTTGCATGGTTTGTTCTCAGACCAATTAAGAGCTTGTTTAACTGCATTAGCGGGTTTTTCAATTTGAATCTCTAAGCAGTGTATGATGCTCTGAACATCGCTGTAATTTTTTCGAAAAGGAATAGGCAGCAATGTTACTATTTGAGATGGTTTTGGGAAGAATATAAGCTTTTTCATACATGAAGAAATATTCGGCAACGTTTTTTTTAAATGTTTCCAATAGCAACACTAGACATGCCAAAATCAAGACTGGTACAATCTTATTTTCTTTAAAACTATCATTACGTCTCTAGGAGAACATTTGCAAGACTCACTCAATGGTTGAATAGTACAATACCACTTTTTTGGAAGACCTAAAAGTAACTGCGGTTCTCTGGACACGCACAGAAGAGCAGCTTTTTCCATATATATTTTAAAAGAAACTTTTTCGAAATCAGACTATGATTCTGTGTCATCTACGCAGATCAAATTGCAAGTTTCTCTTGAAAGTGAAGATTTTTCTTTATAGCTTGAAGAACTTACTACATCAAATTGAAGAAGTTTCTTATTCTCTGTTACTGGCCGAACATATTTATCTTGGGTTTCTATACTTTTATGTGAAAATTTAATTTTTAGGTTTACTTGATTTTTTTGTTTTGTGTAGCTGGAATATCAGCGTTGTTAGTTATATATTCTTCTGGTAAGGGATCAATGTCAATATTATATCATCATCTAGAGTGGTAATAGAATCGACAACATATATATGCTCAATTTCTTGTGAAGTAGTGGCAATCGCATGTGCAACTTGCGTGCTTCTGACCTATATTTGGCATTTAGTTTTGATAATAAAGATGTTTGTGGTTTTTCTGTACAACGATTTTGACAAGCAAATTTGTGAGGCAAAACATCTTTTTTAAGTTTCAGGGGACCACCAACTAGTTTGTACTTCACGTAGTTTTCATATTGTTTTTGACCTAGAACAAAATACAAACTTATTTAAAGTCTATAAAAAAATAAGGAACCTCGTAATTTGTATTCCATCAATGTTTAAAATATGTACCAACTATGTAATACATAAAAATAGGACAACACGTTTTGAAAAAGTGAATGCAAAAATAATATTGTAGTTTGTCGGCGTAGTTCAACACACAACGGTTAAAACTAATGTTGGGCCCTATTTATAAATATTTTATTTATTTTAATAGAACACATCAATCGTATAAAGTAGAAATTAACATCTAAAGGAAGGAAAATACTTAACCCTCCTTTTTTGAAATTCTGTAATCTGATAAAAAGTAGCCTATAAGTAGCCTCGGGTTCCTAACTACCTACACACAAAATTTCATGGAAATCTGTTTAGTAGTTTTTGCGTGAATCTTTAATACACAGAAAGACAGACAGATAAAATTCTAAAAACCACTAATATGGCTTCAGTACCCTTCGTTTAGTCTCCTGGACTTGTTTTATCTAGAAAATATTAGAATTACGGATATGACTTTTCTACAGATTTATTATATGTATAGATAGTAGATTAAAAGTTATTTCTTTCTTTTACCAGTGGTTCTATAAAACCTCTGTACTGGGAATTTTAAGAGTCTATATGTTTAAATAGTAATAAATAACCTTCATTCCATTATGGTATTTAGACTCTACATAGTTAAAATTTTAGAACAAATGAGAGAAACGGTGAAATTCGTTATTTCAAATTAAAAATGATTTAACATTACCCTTCATATCCCAATGGCACTGAGTGCGTCACTTATTATATAACAGGTTCAGCCAGAATTGACAAGGAATATCTTAATTAAAGCTAAGTTAAAGGTATAGCCTATATAAGTCCCACTCCTGGGCACAGGCCTCCGCTCATTTCTGAGAGGGTATTAGGGCAACAAGGAATTGTCCACCGCGCTGTCTCAATGCGTGTTGACGAATTTCACATGTATTCGAATTTTGTTCTTATTTCGCTGACATACAGGCTTCTTCACGATGTTTTCTTTCATCGCCGAACACGTGGTAAATCAGTACTTAAAATTTCAATTTACAATTTTATTGGTGCCGGCGGGATTCGAACCTAGTTTGCTCGCGTACTGTAAAATTTACAGCGAGCGCTAACCATCTGAGATACCATAGCTCCAAATCTTACTTACAGAACGATTTACGAACGAACGAAAATATTTCAGTTTCTGTTTTATATGGCGTTAATAGCCAATTGTAACATGGGGTCACGGTAGCCATCCAAAAAGATTCAGTGATTTTATTAGCCCTGTGAGAATACTATTATTCCCAGTTTTATTTGTAAGACTGATTTACTCGTACTACACAGGGGAGAAAAACTATGACTGAAATTAGTTTCTTATACACTATGTTTACTTAAATTCTTAAACATTTATTACAGCATATTACGACTTTTTTATATATTCCATTAGGAAATGTTGAACGTCGTTTTGTTTGCCACATAACTAACATAAAGAAGAAAATATTTACAAGTGAAAATCTGATTGTGATTTTGAAGGTTCTTCCCAGGACAGAGGTTCTTTTCCAAATCAGTGATAAAAGTAAAAAAATGACGTTCAATAACAATTACATATAAAGAATATTGAATAAAAATGAGAATAAAAAGAATTGTATGCTTAATAAAGACGTTTTAATTAGTAAATTAACATACAACATACAAAAGGCACTTACCCCGTATTTTATAAAATAAGTATGACATGCGAATACACAGTCCACCTGAAGGTGAGTGGATACTATGGCCCATATACATCTATATCTATACTCGATTAATAATCAAATACAGATGTTTGCGTGTAGTCAACCCTGAAGATTAAGGTGGAATATCTCATATGCAGTAAAAAGAGTTTCCGGTGTATTTATGTATTTATGATTTATTGCATTCCTTAAAACAATAGAATACAAAGGGCGGACTTAATGATGTCAGATAGTTAGTGCTCGCTGTAAACTCACATTACGCAAGCAAGCCGGGTTCAATCCCCTGAGGAGGCCTGTGTCCAGCAGTGGGATGGATATAGGCTGTAAGCTTTTTTAACTAACAATATATCAAACTTCACAACAGTCAGTATTAGAAGCCATAATTTCGAAGATTAAGACCTGATAGTATAAATATATAATGATAATATGACACGTTTATAGTAACTGCACTGAATTTATACTTTACATTACAAATGCCCAGGCTGTCAACGTACGGTTAACCGCGGTATTTCTGTCATTTACACTAATAGTATGCGGTTTTACGAATTTCAAGTGTAGTATTTAAATTCATTGTTTATTATGGGACTTTTTTAATTTTCGAACGGTGGCATTGATGTCATTAGTGTGGCATTTCTAATTTGTTGCGGTGGTTATTGCCAATATCGCTATTTGTTATAAATATACTCCATGTATTTATTTTTGAACGACACTTAAAGTTTTACGTGGTAGAGCCATGCTGCACTTATATTATGATTATTTATTAATTTAACTTTTATTGTTATGAGGGCGAAAATGAAAGTTTTTAAAACTGGCCGCTTGTAAACGATAAAACGCACCATTAGGTGGAAGTACGCTCGATTGTTACCCTTATGCTATGACAAAAATCTGTTTTATTACACACAAAGTTTTTGTAAAAAAAGTTATTCGTTCGTATTTATTTTATATAAGTGCCTTCTTAACCCAGTTTGTGCACTTTTCAACGGATCGTGGAAGACAACGCTACATGTTTAGATATATAGAAATTGAACATGTTTACCTACCGGTGCACCCTGTTTCGCTATCGAAGAAAGTTAAAGTTTGTATTTTTGTCATAAAATTTGCTAATGTGAATACGTCTTGATTATGGATTTGTATTTCAAATTTTCACTAAGCAGCTTCGACTTTGCAATAAAATATCTAATTAAAGTTACAGCCTATATATACACGTCCCACTCCTGGGCACAGGCCTCCGCTCATTTCTGAGAGGGTTTTGGAGTAAAGAATTGTCCGCCGCGCTGCCCCAATGCGTGTTGGCGAACTTCACATGTCTTCGAAATAGTTTTATTTTTCTTATTTCTTAGACACGCAGGTTTACTCACGATGTGTTCCTTTACCGTCGAGCACGTGGTAAATCAGCACTTAAAATTGCAATTAACAATTTCGTTGGTGCCGGCGGGGATCAAACGCAGCTTACACGGCTTAAATAAAATATCTAGTAATTCAAATCTATTAAATACACTTTACTTCGTTTTTAAAGCACGAAAGTGTTAGATAATTTTTAATCAGAATTCCGCGCAAAAGTGTGCCTTCATTCTAGACCGCAAACTTGTCACTCAAAGCAGGTCTATATTTTCCCTACTTCAGTTCGCATAGTTCAATAAAAATTACGGAAAACTTTTCGTGTTCGGGTTCATTTCTGAAAAATGAAGTCAGGCGGACCTTGTGAGGGAATTAGTGTAAGCGATATGACCTCGACCTCGTACTATTCCTAGTACAGTTGCAGAACGAAATGAGTCATGAAGTTTGCACTGTCTAAAATATTTTTTTTATTATTGTGATCAGCGAGCTAAAGTAGCAATCGACAATTAAAGGTGAAGAAAGTTTCTCGTAAGCATATGGTTATTTTATATCCTCCTACCAAATAATAGAATATAAAAGTAAAATAATAAAAGAAAAATTTAATAAATTGCAAGTAATTCTTATAAACTGTCATTTCACTTTCTTTTGTTGTTATGTCTTGAAAAACTTCTACCTTTGGAAGAACTAGCAAAAAAAATCAGCGGAACTTTTCCCAAAATTAAAATTTTACATGAAAAACAGTTTGTAAAATTATAAAAAAATACTTATTTTTTATATATTTTATTTATAAAAAATAAGTTTTTTTTTTTAAATACACCTTATTCACGCTACAGCCAATTATAATCGTATGTTATTAATTTTTAGACTTGCCATAAACAATGTTGTCACTCAAAAAACCTCACTTTCCATCGGGTGGTTCTTCATAGGTCTGCTGATTTATTAAACTGACTTGACTAGTTGTTTTAGTGGTCGTAAAGATAGTTGATGTTCATGACGTCCCGGGTTCGAATCCCTACTTGGACCGAAATCGGATAAATAAAATGCTATTATGTCATAATTTCAGCATCTTTTGTTATAATAATTAAATGATATAATTTTTCAGTTAAATAAAAATCAATTCTACAGACCGAACTTCGATCATGGCGGCCAAT